GCCCTTGTTACATGCCTGCCTGACTTGCTTATTGTAATCTTCCTTGACGTTGGCTGCCCCCTCGACGTACGCCTTCTCATCAACCGCTTTGATCTCGACGTCCTTTGTGGCCAGGGCAGTAATGAGCTCGGTCTGGGCTTCGGCGGTCTTTGTCTCGGCCTCTTTCTTTTCGGCCTCAAGGACCTTGGCAATGGCCTCGGCGGCGCCAGCCCTCTCCTCGGCCTCATCCTTACCTTTTTTGGCTTCCTTGGCATGCTTCATTAGAGTCTTCATTTTGCCCTTAGCCTTGTTAATGGCCTTCTGCAAACTAGCAGCCTCCTTGGCCTTGTTTGCTAACTTCTTCTTAATGTTGAAGGCTTGTATTGTGAAGGAGTGGCCATGCTGGATCGCCTAGAAGAAATGGACAGAGCAAAAGTTAGCAAAATTTTCTAAGTAAGAGAAATAGAGAATATAAAGTACCAAGTGTTAGGGGCTTACTTGTACGGAATGCTGCAACATTAGAGAAAAAATTTCGTACTTGCTCATCTCGACGTTGCAATTGAGATCTTAGGGGAGGAGCAGCGTGGTAGAGAGGACAACGTCGACTTCAATATCATCAGCGCCATCGCTAGCTCTAACCGGCTTGTCCTCGATTGTAATGGGGGGAGCCCAGGGGGCATTAGACTTTAGAGAGCCCGAGGTTGTTGCCGACTTAGACCTCGGTCTCTTTGACTTGGTTGATTCGGAGGGTGTGGCCTCGGCGGGCCTCTTTTCGGCGGTAGAGGCACTTTTTTCCGCCTCAGCAATTTTGGAGATTGACAAGGTGTCTTCAGTGTCGATCTGAGTCACCGTTGCCTTGGGTTGGGTTTTTTTAAGCCTTTTTGGTTTCGACTTTGGCTGGGGTTGGGATGATGCTGGTTGTGCGGTGACAGTGTCGAGGATGTCGGCTAAAAGATCGTCTGCAACAACTTTCTTACGTCCCATCTCAGCGGCGATTGCAGTTTAACATCAGCGTTTGTGTTGAGATGGAGGGATTAGTTGTGGAGCCGAGGTTAATGGCTACTTTGCTGGGTCAGATGTTGATCCTTGGTCAGGCCTTGACGAGTCAACCTGTGGAGTTGTTGCTGAAGGAGGAGACTTGTTTTTTCTTGGGATGTTGGGAAGCACGGACTTATAAGTCGGGATAAAATTCAGGAGCAAAGGAGCCTTGTGTTGATTGATTGGTAAGGTCAACAGATTTTTGAAGTCCTTGCTGGGAAAGAAGGGCTTGTGAAAATCCTTTGGTGGTTAAGGGAGAGCTGCAAGAAAAAAACAAACGTTAGCACATGTATAAAAGGAACAAAGTGTTGAAGACTTGAGAGTGAGTAAAGTGACTCATGGCTCTTACTATCACCCTCTTTAAAAACTGATCGGCTTAAAGGATAGAGTTGGAGGTCCTCATCTGGTGAGAATTCCCAGTTGCCCGAGATGATGAAATAATCGTCCCCAGCGCCCTTGTTGGAATTAGGGAGGTCGGCGATGAGTTTGTATTGCGTCGACCTCGGCTTAAGATAGTAGATGTAGCCTTTTTCTGACTTAAGGCCACACATGATGTAGCAGTACTGGATGTCGGCAAGAGTAACCCTAGAGTTCTTTTTTTTGGCTAAGGCAATTATACCATTGATAACTTGGTAAGAGTTAATGGCAAGCTGGATTGGGTTCAATTTGTAGTAATGGAGGAATTCTTGGAAAAAGATACCAAGTGGAAACCTGAGTCCACATTCTGTAAAGGCTACGACAGGGAAAGACATGAAGTTCTCGTCAGGCATGATGGAGTCTTCCTCCCCTGCCAACCTCAAGTGAACGTCGATAGGAATGGCAAACTCCTGCCTGAAATATTCTAACTTAGTTGGGGTGTCTACCCTATACCTCCACATATCCATGACGTTGGATTAGGGGGATTTCAAAAGGAAGTGTTTTGTGAAGGTTTGAGGGACCTCGGCAAAACCTAGACGAATGTTGGGGTGAGAGTTTTTGAGGATCTAGTTGAAGTTTGTTTCAGTTTTTCCTAAGAATCGTGAGTTCTACAACAAATTTCAAGCCTAAAACTATGGAAACAAGAAGTGAAGGCAAGAATCTGGAAAAGACATAGAAAATAGAAACAAGAATAGTGATTCAGAATCAAGAATAGTGATTTCAAGAACACAGTGACAAAAAATGTGTACAAGAGTATGAGGCCAAAAACAGTGGCAAAATGAACAAGTGCGTGAGTAGTGTGAGATTGGGCAGAAGCAAAAACATGAGACAAACATGCCCTCTTATGTGATTGAATTCAACGCACAAATAAAGATTCAAGAACATAGATGTAATTACAGTAGCAGCATACAAGCATAACAGTTTAAAGTACGACAAGAAATTGAAACGAAGGGGACATGAATAACTCACCGAAGAGAATGAAGTCGGTGTGAGGTACGTCGGAGTCAGATGATGATAGCAATTGGAGAAGGGCAACAAAAGTTTCGCCTGAGGAGATGAACACAGTGGTTGCAGAGCTTGAAAGCTTGGAACAATGAAGGATTTAGGAGAGTAGAGAGAGAGAGAGAGAGAGCTTGAACGAAAACAGTGATGAAGAAGTGAAAAGGCGGAGAGAGAGATGATTTTGATCAAACACACGAAGTGGCGGCAAAAATGCAATTACTATGCCTAGGACGACGTGCTTGTCAGACGGCGCACGCAGACGCGATGCGACTTAATGGCACGTGTCAGGTACGGCTCAGTAGGGGAAAGATGCGTGGTAGAAACGGTTGAAATATTGTGCGTGACAGCTCATACACGTGTGAAACTCTTGGAGTTCGTGATTTAATGAAGCAAAGACCTCGGCCAGGAGGATGATCTTGGCTAAATAATTTGAATCGACTTGGTTATTTGTTCTAAGGCATTGATGAAAATAGATTACAGGTCTTGGTCATATGGGACTAGATGACCTCGGTAATGAAGGATAAAGCGAGTTTAGCTGATATGCTAAGTGTAAGAAATGATATAGGTTCCATCACCTCAGGATGCCGAGGTAATAGAACCTAGGGGGCAGTTGTGGGGACATAATTTTTGAATGACAACACGTGGTCGAGGTGGCACCGAAGTGTCAGCCGAGGTGCCACGTGTCTTGGTCATGATGCCGAGGTAATCTTGGCTAGGCCGAGGTTATCTGCGAAAATAACGGGATCCGGGATAAGCGGATAAGGGACATGAGTCCTAGAATGGGAGAGGACTTCAGTTTGAATAAATATAAAACTCTTAGGGAGTTTATCCCAATCTAACTGGAAGTCCAAGATTCGCAAGGGATGCAAGGCTTCTTAGGGGATCAGGTCAGTGTTGACTATAAAAATAAGGCACCCTCATGGGTCTAAGGTACGCTTTTTGTATTCTGAATAGTGAGTTAAGCACTTTTTCTATCTTTGAGAGATAACTAACTTGATCGTCGGAGTGCCCCCGGGTGGACGAATCACTGCCAGAATCTCTTCTTTCAGCGACAGGTTGTTCGAGCTTAATCTATTTTGCTGGTGTTCTCCAGCTGAGTACTAATTTGACAATGTGGTCAGAAATCGACTCACACAGATGAAAATACAGAATAAATGACACAACTAAAAATAGAGAAATGAATCAGATTACATTACTAATAGAACAAATTATTAACATGGATAACTAAAAATTAGAACTCATCTTTGTAAACTAAATATTGAAAAAATTAACAACAAATGATAAGAAAAGAAGCAAACCGAAACGTGTGCGATACCACAGTTTTCTTAAAACAGATTCACTACCTCTCGATAGAGGCTGGAGGTACGTCGGCGTTTGTCTCTCAGGATACAGATGCACTTTCCGAATAACTTCGGGAAACTTGACAATGGATGTACTCTTTCTAACAAGAACCAAAGAAGAGGTTAACAAAAGAAGATAGGAAAATTTTTCTTTAGTGTAAAAAACCATCTCCAACTTTTTATCTCAACATCATCTTATTTTCCATCACAAAACCTCTCTAAAACAACCTACTAAGTTAGAGGAGAAATGCCTCTATTTATACTAGTAGGGGAGAGCCTTAACCATGAAAGCTAACATCAATGGGGTCATCAAATGTCATCAACTCTAGCTATTAAGGCTAGAGTTACAAAGATTGAAAACTCTAAAACCATTATATAAATCATAATGTGCATGTAATATATAAGCTTTGAGAATTAAACTAGATGTGTTGCAAAATGGATAGAGGTGTTGGGTCACAACCTGATCCAAGCCCAATCTCAAACACAAGGACAAACTAAGCCCAGTACAGCTCAGCCCAAAACTTAAGACTAGGTCCAAGTCCAAGTCTAAGACCAAACCTAGCACATACACAAGTAGAAGGCTAGGCCTAGTACAAACCAAGACTAACCCAACTTTATTAATATCCACTTTATGAGACAATTCTCATTCACAACTCAATGGTTTTGGCTCATTATTTTTGTATTGCAATTTTCTCAATTAAGAGAATACAAAACCACTCAAACCCATCTCAACCGGCGGTTGGGTCCCACTTTAATTTCGAATTAAATTTGTCAAAAATCCATTATTTTCCAACAATCCCCCACATGAATAAAATTAGCCGAATAAAGAAAAACTAAGCCCAGTACAGCTCAGCCCAAAACTTAAGACTAGGTCCAAGTCCAAGTCTAAGACCAAACCTAGCACATACACAAGTAGAAGGCTAGGCCTAGTACAAACCAAGACTAACCCAACTTTATTAATATCCACTTTATGAGACAATTCTCATTCACAACTCAATGGTTTTGGCTCATTATTTTTGTATTGCAATTTTCTCAATTAAGAGAATACAAAACCACTCAAACCCATCTCAACCGGCGGTTGGGTCCCACTTTAATTTCGAATTAAATTTGTCAAAAATCCATTATTTTCCAACAATTGGATCCTCAATCATATGTAGGGTATGAATTGTGTTAACAAATTTCTACTTTTTATTTATTAACCTCAGTGCTTTTGTAACGTTTCAGGTATCTAGTGAAGAATCTATCGAAACTGCTAAGCTTCTTGCACTGAAAGAAGGTTTGCTGGTATATGCCTCCTACTTAATCAAGATCAATTGTAATGGTCTCATCTGTATTTCTATCACTGCATTCTCGTGGTTATCACTGATCATGTAGTTCCCAAATTCCTGTCTGAATTAGGTATAGGAACACGAAAATTGATCACAGAATCAGAAACAAAATGTTTATGGATAAGATTTTTTAGAAGTGGCTGCTGCCTTGTCATTGCTTGCCTTTGTAAGAAGCCAATTTTTGACAATGTTTTTGGAAACATGATTTGCAGGTAGGGATTTCATCAGGGGCTGCTGCTGCTGCTGCAATAAAGATAGCAAAGAGGCCAGAAAATGCTGGTAAACTCATTGTTGTAAGTTGCTGTGAATTGATCTTGTTTAATAACAACATTAGAATCCTTTGGTGCTACTTCAGGCAACAACTAAGGTTTCATTTGGATATATAAATTTTAAATGAAATGATTTGAGGTTAAATTTTACCCAGTGAGATGTGTATTATTGCTTAAATAGTTTGACTGACAAATGAGTTAAACTGGTTTAGGAGCATTTGTAATTTAATCCTGATTTGGATCAATCTTGTTGGGAAATATGTTCTGCCAAGGGAAAGACAAAATTGGCATCACCGAAATGATCGAAAACATATTCGTAGGCCAGTAATTTTTCTAGTTAGATTGAACTAGTGGAAGCAAATGGAAAAAGGAACAGAGTGAGATCAAAGAAACTAGCAGACTGATCATTAAATAATTACAAATATGTGCAAATTTTGACATCATCCGAAAATCTATTATCCCTTCATTTTACTTCATGGAAAAAAGGGTATTACATGAATCTGAGTTTTCTCGAGCCTAGGGTGTGTTTTGCATTTCTATAGAAAGACAGAACCGGAGGTTGTGATTAGTGGACATCTAACTTTAGTATTGTCAATCATATGAATGTTATTTTTTGCACTTTCTTTTATTTTTTATTTCTTAAGAAACTACTGAAAATTTTCATATAATTTTTCTTACTGTCAGGTTATTTTCCCCAGCTTCGGAGAGCGTTATCTGTCAACAATACTGTTCGACTCCTTTAGGCATGAGGCAGAAAACATGGTTATTGAATGAGATTACTTCTCCTTTCTAATGAGTGTGTGTGTGTTTTTTTTTGTATGCTGTTTCTGTACTTTTTGTATTGCAGTATGAACTGAATTTGTAACCAATTGATTGTTCAAAATAAAGATTGGGTTAATAAAGATAGATATGCACTTTGGATGACATAATTGTTTTTCTTGCTGGAATAACTATAGAAAAGATTGATATAAATAAATTTTCAAGCTAGTTTTTCAAGCTTTTTACAATTTTTCTAATAGTGACATAAGTTTGTTCAAAATTGAAAAAAATTCACTTTGCCTCTTCAACTATTACACTTAACCCTTGAGCTGTCAAATTGAACAATTTTTTTCTAAAATTATTGATATTACCTCATTTTGCTTAATATTTTTGATCAAATGTTACATGTACACAAAAATAATTGTGCACGTGATTTGTCTAATATAACTATGGGGGAATTACTCTCCAATGGAGAGTAGAAAAAAAATTATGAACACATAGGGTGCAAGTAATTCTAAGATGGGATACAAGAGAAAATTTACAAAAGTAAAAATCATTCATGTTTTTGTAATTTTTTCCTTCTGTCCCATTGGCAGTTATTCCCCTTTTAGTTATTTTATAGACAGTAATTTATTACATGTAGTTGTATTCTGTGTTACGTTGAACATTTGCATGCTATGTTGTATGATATGATATACTTGTCTCCTTATCTCTTTGGTATCAACAAGAGTAATATGGCCTTGTTTGGCAAAGTTTTTTTTTTTGATTTTTTGAATTAAAATTCACAAAAAGATAAAATAAATTAAAACAGTCAATAAGATAAAATATCACATTAAATTTATAATTATTTTACTTTTTCTGTTATAAACATCACATCCAAATATAAAAAAATTTAACTATCTTCCTAAAAGCAAATATTTTGGAGAATGATCCTCTCTAGTCCAACTAGACTGGTGGGCGCTGTTTGGGTCTATGGGTTTCGTCACAGGTCCTATTTCGATGATTCGAACTGTTTACTTTGTCGGGTTCTCCGTGTATTTCGTCCAAAAAAAATAGGTCGATCCGATAACTATAATTTGTTCAATTTATTATATTTGTGAATAAAAAAATATATAATTTATTTTTAAAAATATGATTATTGTCTATTTTTTTAGTGAAAAATTAAATAAGTTACAATTATTGAATTGATCTAATTTTTTTGGATGAAATATACGAATTACTCGATAAAATGAACTGTTTAGATCATTGAAACGAGACCCGTGAGGGGCTCACGAACCCAAACAGCGCCTTCCAATTTAAAATCTGGACTAAAAGAAATTGGCCCTGCTTGGTACAGCTTAATTTCAGCTTATTTCAGCTTTCAGCTTAATTTAAGCTATTTTGATATGTTTGGTTTAGCTTAACAATACAGCTTATAACTTTTTGTAAGTCAAAAATCAACTTATTCTTTGAATGAGGTAGGAGAAGCTTAATTTATAAGTCAGAAATCAGCTTATATTCATAATTATAAGGTATAAGCTGTTAAGGTATAAGCTATAAGTACTTTCCCATAATTCTACCAAACAGGCCATTATTCTCTAATATTTTAACTTACTAAAATAATCAAAAACTAAAAAAAACTATCCAACTTTTCAAATAAGACCTATAATTGATTAGAAAGGATAACTATTCAAACTGATCATTCAAATTATATCAACAAACTGATTTTATCCAAATATAATATCAAGGATAATTATTCAAATTGATGATTGAAATATAAAGTGAATTTAAGGGAGAAATAAATTTCCCTCCAAAAATTCTAGCAAACTTTCCATCATCAGTCGTTTCCCACCATACCATCAACCAACCGCTTTAACGAACTAAACGAAGACCCACCTTCCATAAAAGCCTCTCTGCTCTTCTCTCGCATCTCTCTCACTCTCTCCCTCACCAGATTCCCACTATCCATCACACCTTTCATTGCTCTCTCTATCTCCTCCGCCGCCACCACCACCTCAACTCCGCCGCTGCCGTAGCTCGCACCACTACGTTCATCCCTACAATCCAATCTCAGCTCCACCGCCAGATCCAAATCCACCACCATCTCAAACGCATTGATCTGTTGCTCTGCGTAGATCGGCCATGTCACGATCGGAACACCGAACCACAAGCTCTCCAAAATCGAGTTCCACCCGCAGTGCGACACAAACCCTCCCACCGCCGCGTGGCACAGAACCGCCGTCTGCGGGGCCCACCCGCACACCATTCCTCTGTTTTCCGTCCGTTTCAGAAACCCTTCCGGCAGCAAGCCCTCGTGATCGCCGCCGCAATCGGCCGGCATCGCTAACCCACCTTCGGGTGGCGGCCGCCGTATGGACCACAAGAACCGGTGGCCGCTCTTCTCTAGCGCCGCCGCAATCTCCGCCAGCTGCGGCGGATCAAAGCACCCTAGGCTTCCGAAGCAGAGGAACACGACTGACGACATAGGCTGTTCGTCGAGCCATTTCAAGATCTTGTCTCGATCGCTCCCCGATCGGGCATTGCCGGCGAGGTCAAGCAGCGGCCCGACGGCATAAACCGGTGGCGATTCCGGCGAGGCTAACAAAGACTTCACCGCATAGGATTCGAGCTCTTCGAATGTATTTACGATTATGCCCTTGGCCTCTCTGAACCTCCTGGCGTGGTTCAGTAAGCAGTTGTAGCCGCCGTGCTTGTTGAATAGAAAGGCGGGTAGGACCGAGGTAGGGACCGGGTTAGCGTAACTCGGGAAGTGAGTCACTGAGTTCGGATCGGAGGCGGAGAACTCAGTTCCAATCAGGGCATGGCGGATTGGGAGGTGGAGCATGAGGCCGAGAAAGGCGGCGCTGGAAGGAAAGAAGAGGTAAGTAGGGGCTGCGAATTCGTTGGCGACGTCAATCATGGCGGTGCATAAAAAGTCCACCACCACCCCCGCCAGCCTCGCCGTCGCAGGAGAAGATGACAACACATGGTTGACGATTGCTTCTCTGACCTGTGATTTGTGGCTTTCTAGGAAATCAGAGAAAAATTTCTCCGGAGACTTGGGGACTACTGGTTCCGAAGGTGGTGGTGGAGGAGGGAGGTGGATGTAGCGCAGTCGGTTTTCGGAGGCGGCGAGTGATTCGACATAGAGATTGTAGGAAGGAAAGAAGAATGGTTTGATAAGGAGGACTGTTATGGAGAAATGTTCGTGTCGATCAAGTAAGTGTTTGGCTAACTCTACTATAGATACAAGGTGACCCATTGCAGGGGTTGGCACCAACACAAGCTCTGCTTTGTTCTTCATTTTTTTTAGAAGGTTTGTTATTTTGTTTTCTTTTTTTCTTGATGAACCAATCTTTTATTGAGGGGGTCCATAGCTTTCATCTCCTAAAAGAAGACACAATCGTCATATTTGTTGGAGGGATTTGATTGAACGGATTAACATTCTTTTGAGACTATTAGCCTTAGAATTATCAATTGTTTTGGATGGTATATCTTATCTGTATTTGGTTCAGGTCAGGAGGTTGGATTGATAGTCTGAATCTTTGTTTAATCTTTCATTTTGTATTTTACCCTCCTTTTAGGATTCAATAGTTGAGGATATTATGTTTGGATGTACTATTACTCCGGATCTCAATTTTCTTGGGCAAATATCAAATTATATATTTTGTTGGATTATTAGTTCAATCTTATGACCATATCCACCCAAACAAACATGTCAAATGTGTTCGAAGTTATGATCTACTCACTAAACTAATAGTCCATGTTTGGTTTTGTTTGAAACGTTGATTGACTTTTTGATTTTTTTAGTCCATGGTTAAAAAGTTTCGTTTGGGTTAGATTTTTTGGCTTTTTTTGACTTTTGTGAGTGAAAAAAATAAAATAATTATGGTCTGAATGTGACATTTTATTCTATTGACTTCGAACATATTTTATCTTTTTGTGACTATTTTAGCCCCCAAACCTCATTTTAACCTATGCTAAAGGAGGGTTTTGTTTGGGGGGGGGGTGTTTGAGTATAGAGATTGAATTGTTAATTATTGTGGTTCACAAAAATTATGTTTATTTTTAAAAGATATATTGAAATTGCGATAGTGCTTGGTTTACTGGAATAAATTAGTATAACGGTGATACCAACCTATATGGTGTCATAGCCAATAAAACACCGCAAATGGAATTAGATGGAAAGTTTTGTCTAACACTCACCTAATAATGTCGTGGTTCCTACTATAAATTAAGAATATTATGTAATACCGTTACTAGTATTATCATTATATCAAATATTTACTGCACTAGAATGAAATGAAATAGGGGTATCATTCTATCAAAATTTTCATTCAAATTTGAAAATAGATAGTAATTTTTTTTTTAATTAATGTGATAAAATTTTATAGTTCTGAGTAACAAATTAATTTATTATTTTTTAAAATTAATGATTTATACTTAAATGTCTTGAAAATAGATGGATTGAAAATGGGCACAACAAGATCCAGATTTCTCTTTCTCCACTAGATAGCAAGTGAACCATTTATTTTTTATTTTTTATTTTTTTAAGTATTCATATGAGTTGTTCTGACCTTTCTTTTCATCGATTGATGGACTGTTGTGGTTTGTCATCAAGTCATTGGTGAGTGAGAAAGACGGCAAGTTTATTTTTGTGCATGTCCAAACAGGCATGTTTGTATTTGTATTTGTGTATTGTGGATTGATTGATAGTAAAGTTCATAGTGAGTTTATTTGATGATTTTATTTATCACATAACATTGTTACAGTGTCTCTTTAAAATTAATACAAAATTATGAACAATAATTATTTCAATCAATAAAAATTTTATTAGAATATCACATAGATTTGTCCCAAAATCACCATATAATTTTCTATCTAGTTGTGCCGGACTTATAGAGTGTTTGAATTTAGTATTGTTATTTAGGTTAGAATAATGACATACCTAAAAACCGACTTATTATATTTTGAAATCCATGTCTAAACTATCAATATATAAATTTGAGTTGTTGTTCTTAAATAATTAATATCGA